AGGCGTTCAGGACCCTTGGGTTTGTATTACGACAGGCAAACCAGTTAGATAATATACTGAGTATCAAAATACTAAATAATGTCTTCGTACGTAGTAAATTAGAAAGCAACGCAATTATATGGAACCCTCATGAGTCAAAAGTCATAGTAGGATATATATTAGGGTAACATACCCTAATATATATCCTACTATGTTTTTGTTGGGGATGGTGGGATATGACACACTCGAAGTAAGACGGAAGATTGCATTATTGGAATATGTAGTCAAAGTCATGAGAGGTAAAAATGTAACTAGCGGTGTTAACATCGGTGTCCATAAGAGCGCCCAATAATTACGTACAAGCACGAAGACGAAACTTGTTTGATGTTCCATGGAGAAGGACGGAGCTGGCCAAACAGGCTCCTATTTCTCTGGCATTGAGTCTACTCAACGGTGTTGTTAGTCGTTTTCCGGATCTGGACATATTTACTAGTAATTTGCTGGAGTTTCGTAGGATGGCAGTAGATTATTTAAGTAGTATGGAAAAGTAAGATTATTATTATTGTTATTATTTTTTATTTTATTTTTTTCTTGTGTAATTAGTGTATGTATTAGTAACTAGTATGTGTTTTATAAGTGTGTGTATATATATACAATCTTCCTAAGTGGGTCATATTGGGAAACTGTGACCCACTTAGTGTGACGTAAATAAATAAATAAATAAATAAATAAATAAATAAATAAATAAATACGGTACATATACCAAAATAACATTTTTTATAATTTTTGTCTGTCTGTCTGTCGGTCTGTTTGTTCCGGCTAATCTCTGAAATGGCTGGACCGATTTCGACGGGACTTTTTTTGGCACGAATATTCATTAATGTAATAAAATATGTTAATTTAGATATACATTTATTTTAGAAAAATAAAGTTGAATTGCACTTGGATGAAGTCGCGTGTACAGCTAGTCTCTCTTTAAAATTTAACACTACTATTTCCTTTTGTTACCCTCCAATATCTAGTATATATATTTATGTATTTGTATGTATTACCAGAAGGTACTCTGTAAGAAAGTGTTTGACATATTTCAGCCACCAAGTAGCTTGGTTTGTGAACTGTGTTTCGGTTGCAGGATACAGACTATGTTTAGGAACAGAGACATTATTTCTTAGGCTTCTGGAATGGCAACATCAGTGTTATCACGGGTGTCACGTGATAACGTGATGTTCATTTTTTTATGTATATAGGCAACATTTATCGCATGGGGTAAATGGATTACAAGACTAGTTGTTTTGACGTTGTCAAATGAAATGATGTCTTTGCTGTTCAATATAAACTCAATAGTTACCACTTTCGAAATGGATTACAAACTTTTGTTATCACGGGTGTCACGTGATAACGTGATGTCTGCAGTGCTGTTCATGTACATAGGCAACAGTTACCGCAGGGGGTAAATGGATTACAAACTAGTTGTTATCACGGGTGTCACGTGATAACGTGATGTCTGCAGTGCTGTTCATGTATATAGGCAACAGTTACCGCAGGGGGGAAATGGATTACAAACTAGTTGTTATCACCACCGTCACGTGATAACGTGATGTCTGCAGTGCTGTTCATGTATATAGGCAACAGTTACCGCGGGGGGGAAATGGATTACAAACTAGTAAGGTTAGAAATGAATAGCAAGGTACATGGCAGGTCGTGGCATGGAATGATATGGAGGTCCATGCGGTTCTTTCTAGAAAATATGAGAAATTCCAGGACAATTTGTCACGATGGGCTAACTGACCTGACGTCATGCTCATCTTACCATCCTCCACTGGTGCCCCGCCAGCGTAAGCGGTAGCGCAGGCGGTTTTATTTCATATATAACATATAAAAAAAATAGTTTTTTTTTTTTTGGTGGAGCCTTCCCTCCAGTTTGTTAGTAAGTTGGACCAATAACCCGATATATATATATATATATATATATATATATATATATATATACCAGTACATATACATTACTGACGTGACCTTATAGTCATCTTTCATCCTCCACTGGTGCCCCGCCAGCGTAAACCGTTAGCGCAGGCGGGTCCATCATTCCATTAACATCCATTTAAAAAGCTGTAATCTCTTACCATCAAGTGGACCAAGAATTTGTTTATCATTCCAGCTACATATAAACGAATATTATTAATGTTATGCTTTGTTAAATATGTTAATTTGTATTGCAATATATTAATGTATTTAGCAAAGACAAATTGGTATCTTGCTAAGTTCAAATTGTGTGTATGTAAGTGTATTCATAAGAGAGTTTTCCCACAAACGCTCAGCTTGAGGAATGAGCTTCCGGCCGAGGTTCTCTCTGGAGACTGCATGGGTTTCTTCAAAAGGAGCATAATAAGGTTTCTTAAGGGTCGGCACACATTAATGTATTCACAGTAGTTAGTAGGAACAATATTTGTCAACCGACTTCAAAGAAGTGAAGAATTTATGGTACATACCTTTACGCAGTGCAAATATCTCATTGATTTCTATATTTTTTATGAATATGCAGTTTCATTGTAATGTTGTCTAAATGAGTTGTAGAAATAGAAATAATCTTTATTCAAATAAACTCAATACAAGCACTTTCGAATAGTCATATTTTTTTATTCTACCACTCATTCGGAACGCAGACTCATCACAAGAAGAATCCACCGAGGTTCGAACCCCTAGCGGTGCCCTTAGACTAAAGGCGTATCCGTCAGGCAGGAGTAGGCCTTCAGCCGCTCCATAAGTCCTTCCGCGGGTTTGGAGTGCCATCTGCACTCGCCCCATAACGTCCGGTGAAGCTGTAAAGGCCAGCTACGGCCAACATCATTAGAGTAGTACGAAAAAAAAAGTGTGCGGCCTCTTTTGGTCGACAGACGTGCTCTCGAACGAATCTCCGTATTTGCTTTGTACCTTGTACTGATTTTGTTAAAATTTATTATACGATTTGTTATAAGTTTCTTTTATTTAATTAAATTTAGAGGTCATTCCAATATTATTACAATGTAATGCCATATTTAAATTTAACTCTGTAAAAGCACACCTTCATTAGCTTTATATCTTAAACACAATGGTGCTTTATCCGTAAATTATGGAAAGCATTGCCGTATGAAATATTGAATAGGAAGGTACTGTAACAGAGGTCGCATTGCATATTTTAGCGTTTTCATTTCACAGCGCTGCGAATGACTGTGTAATAGAGACGTTTATTTCTTTTATGATCACAAATTTATTTTGGATGTTCGAAAATCAAGGGCAATCATTTTAAATACATATTTAAGCACGACCTAGTTGAGATGTTAGCTAGTTGTAGAAGATATCTCATAATAATCTCAGGACAATTCACACAGCGCCATCTAGACCCAAGTTAAGCTAGCTAAAGCTTGTGTTATGGGTACTAGATAACTGATACAAATACATAGATTTTTTTTTCGTAAATACATACATAATATACATAGAAAACACCCAGACCGATACAAACAATCATACTCATGAATACAAATATTTCTGCCGTGCGAAGAATCAAACCCGCGACCATTGGACGTAAAGCGGTGTGCTAGTCCGCTAGACCACCGAGGTCGTCAAATAAACAAATAAAAATAAGATATAGGAATTAATATTCCACCGAATTACGTGAGAAGTGTCACCCGTCGTCGTGTCCGACTGTTTGTAACTGTGGCAGTACGCACAAAATACGCTAATAATTGTCCCACTATGCGAGCATTGCAACTATTAAACTTATTTTTGGGTAAGGTCCAAGATGCTGACGTACACACAGAAGCCTTGACATCTACGATAAATAAAATAAGAATGTTTTTGACATTATGTAGTTAAGTATAATACTATAGTTTTAAAAATGTAAACATATTGGCAACTAGCTTTTGCCCGCGGCTTCGCTCGCGTTAATTTATCCCCTTAGTTGTGGGATTTCTGAAAATCCTTTCTTAGGGGATGCATACGTCATAGTAGCTTTATGTATGCAAAGTCTCAGCCCGATCGGTTTAAAATTGACAAAGTTTTATACAAACTTTCATCCCTTATTTTATCCCCTTGGGGGTAGAATTAATCAACATCCTTTCTTAGCGGATGTCTACGTCATAACATCTACCTAATTGCCAAATTTCAGCCCGATCTGTCCGGTGGTTTGGGCTGTGCGTTGATAGATCTCTATGTCAGTCACCTTTAAGTTATATTTATTTAGATTAGCTGTAAATTTATATTGTGTTAATTGAATAAATAAATAAATATATTCTTAAAGTAATCTATACTAGAATAGAATAGGAAAGTCTATTCCAATAAACTTAAATTTAAGCGCATTTGAATAGTCATACTTATATTTTTTAATCAGCTTTCAAAATAAGTGATAGAACTCATTTAGAAAGCTGTCTCAAAAAGCGACGTCTCATCTCCGGATATGTAGGATTCGAATATATCTAATAATGATGTTATACAGTGTTCTGACTACTCCATCTTAGGGTTATAATCATGAAAAATATTGTCATAACGAAATATCCCGTTACTGCTCTTAGTTTTTTGTGGGATCCCGAATTTACGACGAAGCTACAAAAGCATTCTGGTCACGAGTCGACTGGAGATGGCGGTGGATATAAACAATTATTACGGATAGACAAATCTATCTAACCGTTTTTTTTATATATTTTTGCACATGTAGTAAGAAAGGATTAAAACAGTGAGAAAACTTTTTAGACTGGACTCATGGTAGACACCTTTTTACAAAGGTACGTCGGTAAAATAGTAATAATGATGATGATGATGATGATGGTGATGGTGATGATGATGATGATGATAGTGGTGATGACAATAAACACCAGATTAAAAAAGAAGTAACAAGATACTTCGCGTCATCCGTCCTCGGTACTAATCATCAGCTTAGCTGATATAATGGTCATGCTATGTGGAAATAATAATAATATTCCTCAATGATATCAGAAGTTGAAATAATGTGATTAACTGCTGAGATCTTTAATTTTTTTTGTTAACAGCTCCACCTAATCGACCAACCATAATGGACGCAAAGACGAGGGACCACACCCGCCTTCTGGAGCCGTACAATGAAGGGGATACCCTGGAACTGATCTGCGAGGTATTTGGAGGTTCGTGTGTTTACAAATCTAATCTAGTTAATAAATAAAATTCCACACTATTTAACGTGGACGAAGTGCATGCACTGTTAGGTATGCATATATGTATATTCGACGACCTCGGTGGTCTAGCGGTCTAGCACACCGCTTTACGTCCGATGGTCGCGGGTCCGATTCCTCGCACGGCACAAACATTTGTATTCATGAGTATGATTGTTTGTATCGGTCTGGGTGTTTTCTATGTAGGTTAAGTATGTATTTACGAAAAAAAAATCTATTTATTTGTATCAGTTATCTAGTACCCATAACACAAGCTTTAGCTAGCTTAACTTGGTTTTGATGGTGCTGTGTGAATTGTCCTGAGATTATTATTATTATTATTATATAAATATATGCGTTAGTTACTAATTTCCATTAAGTAGGAGGTCAGGAGTTTTTTACAATTTCAATTATAAAAAAAAGTAGAGAAGAGAAAATCAGAGTAATAATATATATTTCTATGGGTCAACAATTATATAATAAGAATTTCTGTTAAATCATATTTACTAACCAAAGCCTCACTAAACTATTACTTGAATGACGAGCGTGCATGGCAATAGTTGTTCATGCACGGGATTTTCATTTAATATTAGACATAGACACCGATATAAATATGCATTGTAAGTAAACTAGCTTTAAAAAAAGTAATTCAATTGAGTTGCTTGCCAGTAGGGATGGTAGGGAAAAAATTATAATATAAAAAAATTATGTTCATAAGCGGCTACAATGGAATAAATTCTTTTTGAATTTAGAATTTGTGAACAGACGAAATTATACAGTATTCTACGTGCACAAAGTCGCGGGTAGAGCTAGTACACATATAAAAATGTGCATCAGTCACCATTTTCCACTAGGTGTTTTTTTACATTTCCAATTATATAATGGAAAAAAGTAGAGAAGAGAAAATTAGAGTAGTAATTTGTATATTTATGGGTCAACAACAGTTATATAATAACAATTATATGATAACAATAGTTATATAACAACAATTATATAATAACAACAGTTATATAACAACAATTATATAATAACAATAGTCATATAACGTAAAATTGAACTAAACCCAAAATATCCGTTTGCAAGCGTATTCTCTTTTATATCCGAATAAATTTTTACGATCGGTTTTCATAAGTTGGATCGTTAAATTTTAATATTTTCTGTGATCTGAATTTTTATAAGCTACCTATTTAAAATCTTAATAACAAATCTGTCCATCTCTAAACGAATTACATGATTCATATCTTTAAAATGAGTAATAGGCAGATAAATGTCGTGGAATTGATTTTTTTTTATTAAAACATCAGATTACTTTGCTATAACTATAATAGCTCCGTATAACATACTCAGTTGTAATTAAAACTAGTCAGAATTCTAGATGTTTTTTTTTATTAAACCGTCAGATGGCATTGCTATCATTGTAATATCGTGTAATACATACTATGGGGTAGTCGAAACTAGTCAAAATTCTAGAAAGTACTTACAAACTAATAGTAGGTTTGATATATCATAAGAGTCTGTAATATACCTATTTAGTAATTCAAAAAAAATGGAAATATAAATCGAGTTTTAACGATGTAAAATATATATAAGTATTAGACACCGTTCGTGGTCTAGCGGTTTAGCTCACCATCTTAACTCCGATGGTTGCGGGTTCGATTCCTCGCACGGTAAAAACAAAGTTCCTGGGTATAATTGTTTGTATCGGTGTCGATATTTTCTATGTATATTATGTATTTAGAAAAATATCTATATTTTCATATAAGTTGTCTAGTATACATAACACAACCTCTGCTTAGCTTGGAACTAGATGGCGCTGTGTGATTTATCCATAAATATTATTATTAATATTAATATTGATTCTAATTTACACTTTCTCTCCAGGGGACCCCAAACCTCGAGTGACGTGGTACCTAGAGAATACAGTCATAGATGACTCGTACGAGCAGCGGCCTGATGGCGTAACTGTTAACATGCTGACCTTCCCCAGTATAGGACGACAGCACCTCAACGCCAGACTGGTGTGCCAAGCGTCCAACACAAATCTGGCGCCACCAGAGACCAAGTTACTGATATTAGATATAAATTGTAAGTTATTTTATCTTAAGTACTCGTAAGTAACACATTACATATTATAATACAAAGTCGTCGCCGCTGTTTGTTCGCTTATATCTTTTAAATTGCGCAATTTTAATGCGGTTTCAGAAATAGATAGAGCGATTCAAGAGGAAGGTTTATATGTATAACTAGCTGTCCCGGCAAACGTTGTTTTGCCTTAAAATAAAAAAAAAATTTAGGGGTAGTCTACCCCTAACATTTAGGGGATGAAAAATAGATGTTGGCCGATTCTCAGACCTACTCAATACGCTCACAAAATTTCATGAGAATCGGTCAGGCCGTTTTGGAGGAGTATGGGAACGAAAACTGTGACACGAGAATTTTATATATAAGATATATGCGTGTTATAATGTAGAATAGGCCTAGATATTAAAAGATTTGTAATGTATCCCTGTGAAGCCGGTACGATTACTCTTCAACCTCTCCGACACCGGCGCCACTTTCATACTTCCTCTAATGTATTCATTCTTTATCTTATCCATTCTTGCCACACCACACATCCACCTCAACATTCGCATTTCAGTTGCATGCAGTCGTCTGAATACAAACTACCAACTAGCACTAATTCATTAGAACGATTAGTGTAGAGAATTAAAAACGTTTAGATGATTCTAAAAACACATCTAATATAGTTAAAAAGTATATCACTATATCTAAATCAAGATAGTATTTATTTATTTTTAAACTTTCGCATTGAGTGCATACTATTAATATAGTTAAACAGCTTTTAACACGAATAATTTTATGGTAAATAAAGGTATTTACCTTTCGACGTTTCGACTAGGTTGCACTAGCCGTGGTTACGACCTGACTTTTATTTGTTAAAAAGTTTAAAAATAAATAATTTCTTGATTTTGACATAGTGATATACTATTATAACTAAATTAGAATAGAAATAGAAATAATCTGTATTAAAATAAACTTAATATAAGCACTTTCGAATAGTCAAGTTTTTTTTTTATTCTACCGCTTATTCGGAATGCAGATTCATCACAAGAAGAATAAGCAAGAAACTTGTGTGTTGCTCTTTTAAATAAATATTGATTTACTTATATTTAATTAACAACAAGGATTAGGCATGCGACAATCAACATAGAAGCCGCTACGCACTTAATCTCTGTTCAATCTGATAACATTGTCAGCTCTATGAATTTTAAGTTAGATATTTTCTACAAAAACATTATTATCATTTATAAATTCTTCAATTTTATAATAAGCTTTTTTACAAAGAAAATATTTTATGACACATTTGAATTTTTTTCTGGCAAATTGACTACAGACTCTGGGAGTTTGTTGTAAAACCTAACCTTCCCTTCCCTTCAAATAAGATAATTACGTTATACAGTTAGTTGTTATTAGGAAACATTTGCTTCTATGGTATTCCCGAACCAATACGATATTAAAACCTACAAAAAAGAACGTATTCCTTCTTAAAAGGACAACGCACTTGATATTCCCCTGGTGTTGCGGGTGCTCATGGGCGGCAGTAATCACTTACCATCAGGAGATGGGAGGTGTATGCTCGGTTGTCCCCTATGCTATAAAATGGGCGGTAATCACTGATTATCTTGTGAGCTGCAAGCTCGTTTGTCCCCTATGCTATAAAATGGGCTGTAATCACTTACTATCTTGTAATCTGCAAGCTCGTTTGTCCCCTATGCTATAAAATGGGTGGTAATCACTTACTATATTGTGAGCTGCAAGCTCGTTTGTCCCCTATGCTATAAAATGGGTGGTAATCACTTACTATATTGTGAGCTGCAAGCTCGTTTGTCCCCTATACTATAAAATGGGCGGTAATCACTTACTATCTTGTAATCTGCAAGCTCTGTGTTTACTAATGCAGTTTGTTACAGTAAGACCACTCACGGTGCAAATTCTGAACAAGAGCCAGCAGTTGTCAGCTGACAGGAGTTATGAAGTCGAATGCAAGAGTACAGGTTCCAGGCCCGAGGCTGAAGTCACCTGGTGGAAGGGCAGTAGACAGTTAAAGAGGAGTGCCAAAAATGTAAGTTTATTTTATATAATAAAAAAACTAACAGGCTTTACATGAGTGTGAATTCTTACTTAAAGAAACAATTAATATTTTCATTGAAGATCTTGAAATCTGAGGCAGACTGTATAAAGTCGCTGTAGAGTGCGCGGAATCGAACCCGCAACTATCAGAAGTAAAGCGGTGTTAAAAGGTGTATAAAAATTCAAAATAGACGCTTAAGTTACTCCTTATAACATTAGCTATCTGCGAGTGAAAGTCCTATCGAAATCAGTCTAGCCGTTTTAGAGATTGGTAAAAACAAACAGGCAGACGTTTGTCTATCTGTTTGTTCATAACCTTTGAACAGACAAAAATATTTTTTTATTTAATTTTTTGATCTAAGTTTGTACTATGTCATACTTTCATGTATGTACATTTAGTGAAAAATTTGTTAATTTTATATTACATACAGACACTGCAATTTTATTTATTTCTACACATACTAACGTTAAGATAAGAAAAATTTGCCTCTTTGTAGAATCTTCCACGGCTTTTCTATTATTTCATAATGTGTTTTCTTTTATTTTGTACCTACTTACATCTGTTGATCCACTTTATATGATAACCAAGTTATTTTTCCATAACGTACCAATCTAGTGATATTTATTAGATTTGCCTCTTTGATATTTATTTTTTTTATATGAAATTGGAAATATTATTTTATGTTGACGACAATTTTAGGTCTATTGATCGCTAGCCCGCCATCCGCCCACCATCTTGTTAGTATTATGGCCTTTGTTTTTTATATCTCATAATAACGGTAATCTAGTTCTCATGGAGATAAGGCTTGGTACTTACGATAGTCGTTTAGATATTTATATATATATAAATAAAATTGGAGTGTCTGTTTGTAATATTGAAATAACAGTTTTTTACTACATGCATATGAACATAAATACATACACCAATAGGTAATTACACCAAAATAACATTTTTTACAATTATTGTCTGTCTGTCTGTCTGTTTGGTCCAGCTAAACTCAGAAATGGCTGGACCGATTTTGACGGGACTTTTATTGGCGGGTAGCTGATGTAAGGAGTAACTTAGGCTACTTTTATTTTAGAAAATAAAGTAAACTTCTACGCGGACGAAGTCGCGGGTACAGCTAGTCAAAACTAAACTAACTACTACTAACTACTAACTAACTTACAGAGTATTCCAGTTTTGATGATGAATCCATCATTACATAGTATAAAACAAAGTCGCTGTCGCTGTCTGTCCGTACCTATGTATGCTTAAATCTTTAAAACTACGCAACATATTTGGCGGCGGTTTGTTTTAGTAGATAGAGTGACTCAAGAGGAAGGTTTATATATATAATACGTGTACACTCGTGCGAAGCCGGGGCGAGTAGCTAGGTCTATTATAAAGAGTGGACTCCATGTAGGTTAGAAGAAATAATTTTACCGTTTGTTTACGACAAAAATAGCCATTATATATTTGTTAAAATAGAACATGTAACATTTACAAATGTTACATATTTTATTTATTTGTAAATTCTCGTATATTCCATAGCGTCACCAATAAAGAAATTAAATCCTTAAAATATTTTTTTTTTAAATATTACAACATGCAATATAAGTTCCCCAAACAATTTTATAAGATAAATAAGAAATTTGACACTATCGACTTGAAAGTAGAAAATAATTTTGTTCTCTTGACCCGAACCGTCATACTCGTGAACGGGTGCTGCTTGTGGGGACTGGTATGTTCGGGTTACGAACGCTGATTAGACTATTTGCTTTTGCAATAGCATATGCTGGTGGTGACTCTATTCTCCCAAATTTGAATTTAAATACAACATTTATTTGAATGAGGAGATCCGCAGAAGAACCAGAGTGACCGACATAGCCCGAAGAATTGCGACTTTGAAGTGGCAATGGGCAGGGCACATAGCTCGTAGGACAGATGGCCGTTGGGGCAGTAAAGTCCTCGAGTGGCGACCACGGACCGGAAGACGCAGCGTGGGAAGGCCTCCAGCAAGGTGGACCGACGATCTGGTCAAGATCGCGGGAAGGCATTGGATGCGAGCAGCGCAGGACCGATCGTCGTGGAGATCTTTGGGGGAGGCCTATGTCCAGCAGTGGACGTCTTCCGGGCTGCGATGATGATGATGATGATGATTTATTTGAAAAGAATATGGGCTGAGTTCCTTGTCAGTTGTTCTCATCTCGAAATCATTCCCAACTGACGGTAGATTAGACATATCTATAATAGATCTACATGAATGAAGATGTTTTGATTTGAATTTGAATTCGAATCTTTCTTCTACACCTATAACTGTTTCTAGTTTATTTCAATTACATTTTCGATATTAATATGACTTGTATTCTAGCAAGTCATATGGTCAGTGGAGGCGTGGTAACCTGGGAAGAGTTACCACCCTGCCTCACGAAGAGAGACCTGCCGCTCGAGTCGCTGTAGAATGCAATCCCCATGGATTTTGAAGAGAAATCTCCATAATTGATTTATCCACGTAACAAAACCTTTAAAAAAATTGTACAGTATTCATCTATATATATAAAAATGAATTGCTGTTCGTTAGTCTCGCTAAAGCTCGAGAACGGCTGAAGCTATTTGGCTAATTTTAGTATTGAAATATTCGTGAAAGTCCATGGAAGATTTAAACGATGATAAACTATGATGAAATTGCATGTAAAATAGTAAAAACAACACTTTTATTTTCCCATACGAACTGGTGTCAAACAGAAATTTATTGCGTAACTAAACTTAATACAATACATACTTAATTTTGAGGCGGAACGGAGCTCGTGGAATCAGCTAGTATTTTATATTTTTATTCATGAATATGATTGTTTTTATTATCTGTGCAATAAAGAATATATAATATAATAATTGTTTATCTATCTGGGTGTTTTCTATATATAATATGTATGTATTTAAGAAAACTATATAATATATGTATTTGTATCAGTTATCTAGTACCCATAACACAAGCTTTAGATAGCTTAACTTGGGTCTAGATGGCGCTGTGTGTATTGTCCTGAGGTTATTATTATTGTATACTCTGTGCCATATCCTTTGATACTCTATAACATTAAAAAAGAAACACGTAATTGTCTCGGTTCTTTTTTCTTGTACTGGGTCTGCTTTCGGAATGAAACACTATTTAAAAGTGCTTGTATTAAGTTTATTTGAATAAAGATTATTTCTTTATCAAAAACTAATTTTTTTTAATTCCCTAAACATAATATTATAGTATACTCTGTGAAGTTATTACTCTATAACATTAAAAAAAGAAGGACGTATATTTTTTGCTTGTTCTGCTTTCCGAAAGAAAGCACTACTGAAGACTACTTATATTAGGTTTATTTGAATAAAGATTATTTCTATTTCAAAAACTAAAAGAATTTTCCAATGGGCTAAACTCAATTAGGACATAGACGGTTTCTTTCACGCAGCATTTTCGTCAATATCAAAGGCAACCTATGATATTTCGGAAATATCCAAATTTAATCTAAATAAGTTCAGCATGATCGAGCAATTCATATGTTCAAATGTCAAATATTACGGTGGATGACCTCAGTTTCTCATTTCGTTTGGCTGTAGTTGATTACTCGAGTTGCTCAAGTCATTTCTACTTGTCTGTCCGACAAATGCCTTACGGACGATGGTGGGACACGCAATTTGCGATATGTTAACGTTTTCGTCCGTGATGAATAGTTTCTTAACCCTTTCCTCAAGGCAGATGTATTGACGGTGCATGTAACAATAAATATAAAGTTCCTGCGTTGACAATTTAGCAACAGTTTTATATCAACTAGCTGGTCCTGCAACTTCATCCGAGTGGAATTTAACTTTATTTTTCTAAAATAAAAGTACCCTAAGTTACTCCTTATTACATCAGCTACTTGCCAAAAAAAATCCCATCAAAATCGGTACAACCATTTCAGAGATTAGCCGGAACAAACAGACCGACAGACATACAGACAAAAAGTATGTACCGTATTTATATTCATATGCGTGTAGTAAAAAACAGTTATTTCAATATTACAAACAGACACTCAAATTTTATTTATATGTACAGACTAGTTGTACCCGCGACTTCGGTCGCGTGGAATTTAACATTATTTTTTAAAATAAAAGTAGCCTAAGTTACTCCTTATTACATCAGGTACCTGCCAAAAAAAATCCCGTCGAAATCGGTCCAGCCCTTTCAGAGATGAGCCGGAACAAACAGACAAATGATGAGGATAGTGATTTTTTAAACGGAAGACAGAAATTTGCGGACAATTCTAGAAGTGTTTAGTATAACAGCTTTTTGGAGAAGTATGAAAGTAAGTGGGTGAAGTAGTAATATGTATAGTATGACGTTAATCTGTAGGGATGTTGGATGTTGTAATATCTATAATTTCCAATGATGGCACTATCGACGCTGATGTTTCTCATCGCATCTGTTAATTTGTTTTTTGGTTAGGAATAGTGTTTTTAAATGAAACTGTCATGAGAAGTCATGAGAAGAGCTCATGAAGCGTTTACTGCAACAACTTAACGTTTTTTAAATTACAAAGGTGTGGAGTATCCACCCTTTTTATTGGTGCTCATATGTGTCGCGTGATGAGCGGTGCTTCTCACTGGTCGATTAACTGATGCCGGCATCGACGCAACGTTTGACGTCGACCAGTGGTGGTTGAGGATGGCGCGTGTGGTGTTGATTATACTGCTCACAGCAGATTTGCTACTTCTGTTTTAACAGCATCAATACCGGGTGGATGAAGTGGAGACAGCTCTCGGGCGTGTTGTGTGACAAGCGAATGCCTGTACACATAAAAGGCAAAATATACAAAACCGCAAACTGCCCCTCTCTGATACGAAGCTGAATGTTAGCCTCTGAAAAGAGACCAGATCAACAAAATGCACACGACCGAGATGAGAATGTTAAGATGGGCAGGCGGAGTCACATTGTTAGACAGAGTGAGGAATAAACACATTTTAGGCAGCTTTAAGGTCCG